GTAGTAGTAGTAGTGTAGTGTGTCGTGTGTGTGTGTGTGTGTGTGTGTGTGTGTGTGTGTGTGTGTGTGTGTGTGTGTGTGTGTGTGTGTGTGTGTGTGTGTGTGTGTGTGTGTGTGTGTGTGTGTGTGTGTGTGTGTGTGTGTGTGTGTGTGTGTGTGTGTGTGTATAAACACAGGAATAATAAGAATAAACATTACCAGGTAAAAAGACACCTTGCTTTCATGTTTGGCAATAAATGGTTGTCTTAAGTGTCAATGTTTCGTGCTCAGCGTGCATCTGTCAATAGAAGCTACTGTGTAGTCAATATCAATTTAATATGAAGTGTTTGATAATTTTGGAAATGCAATCATTCACTTTCTGGCACAGAGTAAGATAAGAACATTTATTTTAATCTACATTGGAATTTCATTTCCTTTCAATCAATCACAATGCACTTATTGTTCATAACCTTTATTAGCTTATCTTTTGATGATAGTTAGTTGTACTAAACACACCCAAACATGAACTTAATGATGTTCATGGGGTAATGTCATTGTTCATAACTTTTATTAGCTTATCTTTTGATGATAGTTAGTTGTACTAAAAACACCCAAACATGAACTTAATGATGTTCATGTGGTAATGTCATTGTGGTTTGTCGGAATAAAAAATTGGATGCCAAAGCAGAAATACATTCACAAGTGGAGCATCTGGATTTGAATCAGATGGTTATACATTTGGCCGTGTCCCAGCACAGTACAGCGTCACATTACTGCGGTTTAAAGTAAACATTCCTACAATTGTTTGTGTAGGCCTAAAGTCTGTCTTAATCCAAGATATACAGAGGGTTTATTTTACTTCTTACGGTGACAGTTTTCAGGACAACATAATAATTAAAAGCTTAAAGTCCGCTGTGTCCTTTGTATAGTAAAATGGCATGTGTATCCTTTATCTGGCTTCTGTACGTTAATGTTTTATTGTTGCTTGCTGCCTCGATGTAAGGGATTAGAAATCAAAACAGTTCCTTTAACAGGAATCAAATGGATTATTTGAAGTTCATGCTGCATTACAGGGTCCAAGGTTATGATAATGAATTTACTGATTAAAAGTTATGCTTTGAATTAAACTAGGGCTTTGTTTTGTTTCCTAGGTTAACGTTGAATTAGCGTCAACTTTCTGTTATTACCATTGAGGTGCTTTGGTACAGGAGCAGGGTCATTCAGGTTTAAGCTTGCTGAGTACAACCACCTCATGGTACACCTGTATTTTGAGTGCAGTGTCCTTAAAACAAACCTGTACTCATTATACGTCTCCCCTATACTGGTTTAGTGTTACGCAGTCTGTCCCCCCTCCCATTGCATTGTCTACAACTTTATAGGACGCTCTCATCTTCCCCTCACTGAAGAGCTTGTTTGGAAAAGGACATACGTTTTTATTGTGACACCTCAATCTAACTATCTGGTTTAATCCTTGGGGACTTCAGGCTTGGACAGCAAGGTTAGAGGATTTGTCAAATTTTAAACGATTACATTTTCAGCATGAATTCAGGATTTATTCTTTGATTCCACATTATATGATAAGATGATGTTTCCAGTTGGCATCACAAACCTGCTGATGCCTGCCTTTGGGATGCAGTGGGAAGACTTGAGTTTATACCATGTCTTAGTTCATTTAAATTGGATTATATGAGACTCTTTGAGTAGGACTTGCTTCAACACATTCAACATGCTTTCAGTAATGTATGTTGTATGACGTATGTTGATGTTTCAATGTCTAGCTGCTGCAAAATATATTTTGATACATTTAGCATACAGTAGGGCTTCATCATAGCTAGACATCACTGAGGTTAGTACAGACATAGTTTTGTCTCAAAACGTGTTTACTTCATGCAGTTCATAGACATTGTGAAATGGCTATAAAACCCATGCAGACCTTGTGGTTGATAACCAGTTACCTTTCCTCCTGAAGATGCATTTGTCCGCCCTTCTGCTGTGCCTGAGTTTGGAGGCTTTGGTCAAATGTGGTGAGTAAAAAGCTTACATTTCTACTAAATGTAAATATTTCTGTTTAAGAGCTTTGTCCATTTGTACTTCATGTGGTATCATCTTTAATGAGGATTACAGTGCAGGACGCAATATAATTTAGATGTCAAGGACCTTTTTTTAAAATTCTAAGCAGAGATTTGGAGACATATGTAGAGCAATCTTACATGCATCCAAGATTGTGAATAAAGAGTATTATCTTAAGCTGTCTATCATACCTACTGCATGACCTACACAAGGTGCCTTGGCCTAGATTTGTTGGGAAAAAGTGGATCCGGAATCTCCATTTATTTTTATTTTAAAAATAATTGTTACCCTTTTTTTCTTGTTGGACTTAAAATGTATAGTAACTGTAAAATATACATTTACCCTCTGAAGCGTTAAGTGTAAATAAGCATAAAATAGCATAAAAGGATGCATGAAGGTCTGGTGTTAGGAATTATTATTATTATGATGATTAAGTATAATTCCGTAATGATCATTTAAACGTTTTCTGAACCTGCTCTTTAGATTGATTTATTGATTTTGATTGATTCTAAAGGGCAAGCATACATCCAGAGAAGAAGAGGGCTGTGCATTAAAAATATATATATTAAATTATACCAGGGGCGTTGCTTGGATCTACTAAGATCGGAGGCTTAGCCCAGCCCACAATTGAATTAGAAAATACAAAAATATTCGACTATCCAAAGAAAAAACTATATTAAATGTAAATAATGAATTAAAAGTCTCTACATTAGACCAATCTACTACCCAAATAGAAAGTAATGGACAAAGGTTACTATATAAAAAGCGACAAATGTAGTCAATATCTTATCCATGTGATCATGTTTTGAGTGGGGGATCGACCTCATATCCTCAATGTCATTTAAAGCAATAATAATAGTCCAAAAATAATGTGTAATTGCATAGTTTAAAGCCACCACTGTGTTCAGGTCCAAGTTACAATATAACTCAGTAATGTTTGATTACAAAATGCTTACAAAGCCTTTTCTGTCAGCTCGCTTCTACAGTTTTCGCAGCACATATTATTTCTGTTTCAGCTACTGCAAGCGATTGGTGCTATACCAACTGCGGTAAGTATGAAAAATGTCTCTCCTATTGATTTACTATTAGTTTGTGATATTAAGACCGCCTCTAACTTTCAGATGACACCCCATCCACATGGGAATACCTCCACGGGGCTTCCTGTGGAGGAAAAAGGCAGTCTCCGATAGATATAGACACCAACAATGTTCATGCGGACCCCCACCTGCTTAACTTTAACTTTGTCAACTTCTCTTCTAAGCATGTCATCAAGTCCATAACAAACAATGGACACACAGGTACACAAACTGAGACTGAAGGGCTTTTCTATACTACACTCATTGTTTGGGACAGAGGTCTGGAATTTTTACATGATCTTTAAAATGTGCGTAACTTCAGTATATGCATTAACACATCCTTTATCTTTAGTGAAATTGAAATTGCACGATGGTAAAGTTGAGGTGAGCGGAGGTGGACTAAATGATACATATTCAACAATTCAGCTTCACTTTCACTGGGGCAACAGAGAACATCACCCAGGTTCAGAGCACAAGATTGACGGACAAAGATATCTAATGGAGGTAGTATTGTTCGGCATTCACCATAGAAAACATGCATCTTCTTGTTTTTTAAACTGCGCGCACTTTGTGACTTTTCTTTTGACTTCACACCCTGCATCTTTTGCAGATGCACATAGTCAGTATGAAGAAAGGTCTAACTATTCAGCAGGCCACGGAGGAATCAGAGGGAATTGCAGCGATGGCGTTTTTCATAAAGGTATGTCCTACACGTTAAGTTATCGTAAAGTGGTATATTTCCTAACTGTTGAAATCAACTTATGCTTTAAAAACGCCACAAAAATGATACACTTTTATTGCAGGATTTCGGGTTGCTCAATCCCAATTGCACAAAGCAGAAACCTCTTGGTCTAAACCAAGGTATATATATATATATATTAATATACATATATATATATTGTAACGTCCACCCGGACGTGTCGGAATGACGAGTGAAGCGTTCTCAAGTTAAACAGGTTTATTAACAACCAACGGCTCTCATCCGTCCTTTCTCACTCTCTCTCCTCTCGCGCCAACCTCTCACTCCCCTGCACGCGCCCACACAGACACACACACACCAAACCCTCTGCTCCCCAACCCCGCCCCTACCTGCTCTCCTCACAGAAGCCTGACACAAACAGTTAACAGAACACTTGAACAATAAATGCAGATCGCTACATTGCCTTTCGTTAGCTAAACCTTGAGCTAACTTATCCATTAGCTAGTAGACCTTAGTTAGCCTAACTATATTTGTTATTGTCTTTTAGCTAATTAGCTGTAAAATCGAGGCACTGGCAGTTTAGTAATTTGTTCATCACCACTCACCTTCAAAATAAGCCAAGAAAAGCCGGCATAACATGGGACAGTAAAGTG